GTGAGTTCCGTCAGCACCAGGTGTTCACAAGTAATTTTACACTAGGTGTCTAAGGCCTATACCAATTTGTCATACGAAGTATTTTTGGGCTGTATCAAAATTCGTAGTTTTGTATCAAGAGTCTCAAGGCCATAAACAATGTCTTGGATATATATTTAATATAATAAGACTGTTCGTAGTCTTTGAGGGTTGCATCAGGTGTCTTGGGTTCATAACAAGCGTAGTTGGTCTGTGCTGTGTATTACCTAGTGTTTTTAGCCTAATCTTCTGACGTAAAAGTTGTGAATTATGTAACACAGATACAATAACATCATCAGCAGATTAGTAGTCAAACTTAACCCAAACAATGCCTTTTCAGAGGTGGATATTTTGTCTCTTGCTAGGGTATAAGTTAAACGATATATGTTAAACCGGAAGATATATTCATAAGGTCTGTGCGAAAACATAGAAGATAGTGGATATTAGGCAATAAGAGCAGCTCTTTTGTTTGCTATGTTCATTTCTGCGATGTCAATATAAATTTTGATAACTGGCAACTAGTATTTAAATCTGATGAGCATATATATAAAAGTATTTTTTAACTGATGTTGCATTACATGTTCTAAATTTGATTTCGTTGAAAGTAAAGACACGTCTTACAGTGGTACAGGAGTTAATGTTCTAGCTCGTCAGCTTCTTTATCCTCCTTTTTCGAACTGGTTAAGAAAATTTTCTCTGAGAATATAGGTAATTCAGTGCAGCTAGTGGCATAATGTTGATGGCAGTAGCTACACTAGTGGCATAAACATGTGGGATATCCTTATATCCCAGGCTACATGACCAACCAACTGAAACTGTAGCCCAAAAGCAATTCATTTGGGACACTCCCATCTTGGAAATAATTTTTGCATTTATGTTAAATACTTTTGACCATAGACATTCAACGCAACGTGCTAGAGGCTTGATCCATCCACTCCGGACAGACACTACTTATATGTGCTTACCTAATTATTTGTCGGAAAACTTAAGCTCCAAAACGAGGAGAAAACTTTCCTTTTATCTGTGAGTGTATTCATGTCTTAGGTGACGACCATCTAACAGTTACCCTCAGACCCTTGTCACTTTAGCGGCTTCGTGTCTTGTAGCTTCTACTCATATCTACGAGATGTGCAGATTATAAAGAATGGTATGTTAGATACACTGATATTAAGGAGATCCAGTGCATAGCTGAAAGACTCAATCCTATTGCCCGGCAACCCTCGTATACCTGCCAGCCTCCCCGATGTGATCACATTCCTGGATGAATGACAGACTGCCACAGAGTAGCGTTCTTAACGTATTATTATTCTATATGACCTACCAAATGCCTCCCAGGAATATAAGTCAGTCCTGTTTGCAGACGACAACATTATCATAACTAATGTAGATCTTGTTTCCAACAACACAGTCAGCGAGGAGCTTGTAGAAATTACTACCAATATGGCAAAGAACAAACTTAATATCATTATGGACAAGTCCTCCTGCATGTTCATCGTGAATAAAGGTCAAATTACAAATTGTTTGATAAATAATTCTTTGATAAATAATTGTTTGATAAATAATTCTCAAACAGAAAGACAAGACGAGGGGAAATTCTTAGAGACACATGTTGATATTACCTAAAATACTAAGTTCAGTTTCAACACAAGTCTAACAGTATTTTCTGTAATAACATTGCTCACTCTGTACTACTCTAATTTATTCCTATCTCACGTATCCGTGCTTGGGTATAAACTGTAGTAAATCACTTAAAACTTATTGTTACCCAACAAATATCAGCATTTTGAATAATCATCCACTGAAACCTCACTCTGCCACTGTTCTATATTTACTCAAAATAAAACACATCCACACTTTCTGTTATATATATAAAAGACAGAACGAACTACAATCCAGCGTTCCGACTCTTCCTGTAGAGTTGCAACAAAACATAGACAGTATACAAGAAGTATCTCTTTGATATACCAAGTGATCGACGCAACCTATTTAAGATCTCCATACAAATATATAGCCCTAAAATTTGGACATTACGGAAGATGCAAGAAAGTTCTCCATCTGCATCAAGGTTCAAACATATAATTATTTAGCACCTCCTTATTTCACCTAAAAACAATTTAGAATAATAATGTTAATGCCCAGTTTATTAAAAATTGATCTTTAGTTCCTAGTCATATCAGCATTCGTAATGATGTTCTCATTTCCACCAGGATAACTCAACATACGTAATACCCAAAAATGTGATGTACTTCAGTACCCACCAATACAAATATTATACCAAATAGTTTCAGAAACTCTCAAAATATCATAAATCATAAGGCAAATTGAAACATAAAATATTTAAAATTGTAAACTACAGCTTTCTAGTTTTTTTTGTGCGTATGTACTTACCAAGTTGTACTCACCTAGATGAGGTTGCACGGGTCGAGTCACAGCTCCTGACCCCGCCTCCTCACTGGCCGCTACTAGGTCACTCTTCCTGCTCCATGAGCTTTATCACACCTCTTCTTAAAGCTATGTATGGATTTTGCCTCCACTACATCACTTACCAGACTATTCCACTTCCTGACAACTCTGACTCAAGAAATACTTCCTAAGATCCCTGTGAATCATCTACGTCTTCAACTTTCAACTTCCCTTGTTGCTGTGTACCATCTCTGGAACATCCTGTCTCCATCCACATTGTTAATTCCTCTCAGTATTTTATATGTTGTTATTATATGCCCCCTATCTCTCGTGTCCTCCAGTCTCGTCAGGTCTATTTCCCTTAACCTCTCCTCGTAGGACATTTCCCTTAGCTCCGGGACGAGTCTAGCTGCAAACCTTTGCACTTTCACTAATTTCCTTACATGTTTGCCTAGGTGTGGGTTCCAAACTGGTGCTGCATACTCCAACATGGGCCTAATGTACACAGTGTACAGGAAGGATTACTTATTATGATGGCAGAATGCTGTTCTTAGGTTTGCTAGGCGCCCATATGCTTCAGCAGTTATTTGGTTGATGTGCGCCTCAGGAGATGTGCCTGGTGTTATACTCATCCCCAAGACCTTTTTCCTTGAATGAGGTTTGTAGTCTCAGGCCCCCTAGACTGTACTCCCTCTGCGGTCTTATTTGCCCTTCACAAATCTCCATGACTTTGCACCTGGTGGGGTTGAAGTCCAGGAGCAAATTGCTGGACCAGGCCTGCAGCCTGTCAGGATCCCTTTGTAGTTCTGCCTGGTCCTCGTCCGATTGAATTCATCTCATCAACTTCACATCATCTGCAAACAGGGACACTTCGGAGTCTATTCCTTCCGTCATGTCGTTCACAAATACCACAAACAGCACCGGTCCTAGGACTGACCCTGTGAAACCCCACTCGTTACAGGCGCCCACTCTGACACCTCGCCACGTACCATGACTCGCTGTTGTCTTCCTGACAGGTATTCCTTGATCCATTGCAATGCTTTCCCTGTTATCTCTGCCTCGTCCTCCATTTTTTGCACTAATCTCTTGTGTGGAACTGAATGACACACCTTACAGTCCAAGAAAATGCAATCTACAGACCCCTTTCTCTCTTATCTTACTGCTGTCACCCTATCATAGAACTCCAGTAGGTTTGTGACACAGGATTTCCCATCCCTGAAACATGGGTTTCAGGGATGGGAAATCTGATGTTGATAAGCTTATTCCTTTCTAGGTGTTCCACCACTCTTCTGATAATCTTCTTCCATGACTTTGCATACTATACATGTCAGTGACACTGGTCACATTTGCTGTCTTCCATACCTCAGGTAATCTCATTGTTTCGACAGATGTGTTGAGTATCGTTGTTAGGGGTACACATAGCGCCTCTGCTCCCTCTCTTAGGACCCATGGAGAAATGTTATCCGGCCCGATCGCCTTTGAGGTGTCTAGCTCGCTCAGCAGCCTCTTCACTTCTCCTTCGGTTGTATGTATTGTGTCCAACACTTGGAGGTGTAGTCCACCTCTTCGTCCTTCTGAAGTCCCTTCTCTCACCTCTCTGAACAGTCTTTGAATCTCACGTTGAGTTCCTCACATACATCGTCGTCGTTTCTTGTGATCTCTCCTCCTTCCTTCCTTTGCCTGATTACCTGGTCCTTGACTGTTGTTTTCCTCCCGTTGTGGCTGTACAACAGCTTCGGGCCAGGTTTGACTTTCGCTGCTGCTGGGTCATTTTCATATTGTCGTTGGGCCACCATTCTTACCTGTGCATATTCATTTCTGGCTCTTCGACTGCTCTCCTTATTCTCCTGGGTCCTTTGCCCTCTATACTTCCTCTATTCCCTAACACACTTGGTTTTGGCCTCCGTGCACCTTTGGGTGAACCATGGGCTCATCGTGGCTTTTCATTATTCCTGTTACCCTTGGGTACAAACCTCTCTTCAGCTTCCTTGCATACTGTTGTCACATATTCCATCATCTCGTTTACTGACTTCCCTGCCAGTTCTCTGCCCCACTGAATCCCGTTCAGGAAGTTCTTCATTCCCGCATAGTCCCCTTTCTTGTAATTTGGCTTCATTCGTCCGGTTCTTCCTGCTTCCCCCTCCGCTTGTAACTCTACTGTGTATTCGAATCTTAAAACCACATAATAGCTGGCAGCAAGGGGTCTTTCATATGTGATGTCCTCAATATCTGTACTTCTTAAGATGAATACTAGGTCCAGTCTTGTTGGTTCATCCTCTACTCTCTCTCTGATAGTGTCCCTTACGTGTTGGCACATGAGGTTTTCCAGTACTACCTCCATCATCTTAACCCTCCACGTTTTATGGCCCCCATGTGGCTCCAAGTTCTCCCAATAGATTTTCTTGGGGCTGAAGTCAACCATGATCAGTAGCTTTGCTCTACTTGCATAAGCCCTTCTGGCCATTTCAGCCAGTGTCAACCATCGCTCTATTACTCTCATCATATTCTTGCCTTGGCCTCTTGCTTTTCTGTGGTGGGTTATACATCACTTCAATTACCACCTTGGAACCTGCAGTCTG